TAAATTGTAAAGAGTCCCTCAGAGAAAAATTTAAAGAAATAAACATATTAACTTTGGCATCGCAATATATTTATGAAAATGTAATGTATGTACATAAAAACATAAATAGCTTTAATAAGAATAAGGATGTTCATACCTTAAACACTAGGAACAAACATAAGCTTGTAATGCCACTTACTAGACTCCACAGAATTAGTAATTCATTAATGGGGCAAAGTATACGCTTTTACAACAAAATCCCAGAACATGTTCAAAGTTTGTCAATAAACAAGTTTAAAAGTTTTATTAAAGAAAAACTGTACAAAAAGGGTTATTATAATATCAAGAAATACATGAATGAAAATAACCCCTGGGAATAAGGTGATCGCTACCATGCTGGTTCTATGAAAATTCATTTAAAATTGTATAAACAAAATTATTGTTAAGTGAAATTATGTTTAAAAAAAAAGTCCCGCTGGGTTTCTTGCTGGTTCTTCCCAGGACAGAGGTATTGGTTCCGAACCAGTGGTAAATAAAATAATGACTTTCAATAAGTATTATGTAATAATCCATATTGAATAAAAATCATTCTATTCTATTCTATTCTTCTTCATGTCCGGACAGCTGTCCGGACTTGAAGTATCGCCGAAGCTGATAAAGCGCAAGTCCTGGAACTGCAAAATGCCACCTAGCAGCTTTGGACCCAATAGGAAGGCGTGCTAAGAGGCTTATTGGTGACCCGAATGTTAAAACAAATCTTACCAGCCTTTCGGTTTTCTACAGGATGCATTTCGGAGGGTGTGCGCAGGAATTGCATAATTTTATTCCTCCCTCTCCCTTCCACCATCAGACAACTAGACGTTCGGCCAGTGTCCACACTTTTGTTGTTGACTTACCAAGCATTCGAACCAAACGGTTCGCTGCGTTGTTCATTATGCATACAGCACAGGAGTGGAATAATTTAATAATTTTGTCTTAAGCAGACTTTTAAATACTACACGACTAGAAAAGCTTCCATCTTCGCCTGCTATTACATAGATTAGTCCAAAGCGTTCAACCTTGTATCCGGTTAAATAATGTTGCAGAAATTACAATGTACGCTCTGAAATAATAAGCCTATTTATATATTGGTGCGACAATCAAGAAAACTGCGATAGCATTTCGAATTGTAAGATTGGATTGGAAGGGTATACATATACAGCACCGAAATGGGTATATACACAATATTAAATTGTAATAAAATAAACGCTAGCTGGTTCAACACTGATTTTATTATTTTTATGAAGGTACAGTATCCACACAAAATATCCGTCTACCCACAATATACTACATCCTTCCCCTTTTATAATGAACACTGAAGTACAAAAGATTTATAACAAAAAAAAAAACTATATAATGAAAACAACTGAAAGATAACGCTAACTGTAGAAATGAACCGTATACCAAATACAAACTCATACAAAATTAATATAAATATCATAATAACGAAGCCACCCAGGCGTAATATGAACATATTTCTATATAATATGTCATAATATAAATCACTTCTATGTTTTATGATTTAGTTTTATAATTATTAAATGAAATTACAAAACAATAGTAAACCTAAAATAAACGAAAATAAGTCAACATCTACAGAATACAGAGCCTTAAAAATATACACTTAATATGAATATGTATATTAGTTTGCAAATAACTTTTATACAAAACAACTATTATATTTTTTCTTTCATCGCATATTTCATCTTAGCCATAAGTCGTGTTTTTGACCTAGTTATTGGAGGATTAATGCATGGGCTATGACCTTCCGTATCCGTTTTACTATCTGTCGAATACAAAGGGTCAAACCGTTCTGGGTTTGAATAATTCGCAACTTTAATAATAATAATAATAATAATATTTTTTATTCAGACTCAGTCCATAGAGATGTTAGTATAACAATAAAAAAAAAACTTAAGACTAGTGTTAGTAAATAAGTTCTCTTTCTTTATATTCTTAACTTATCAAATTAACCATCCCGCGTACATTACATATATCTCACTTATTTAGTTTTACATGTAGACTCAACCAATGCCTCATAATGGCCGAGTCCCACCTATCAGCAAGTGTGTTTAGAATGCTGTTGGTTGAGTTACGCAGACGACTCAGTAACGAAGCAGACCTTTTACGAATAATGGCATGAAAGCCATCCGTGTGTGCCTCAGCGAACATAGCAGAGGCACTACAATAACGCGGCAATCCCAACAGCACCCTGAATGCATTATTATATTGGACACGCAGGACGTTGTATGCCCGCTGCGTATATCTAACCCACAAGTTGCATGTGTAAAAGCACTGACAATACGCTTTAAAAAGTGTTACTTTTACTTCTTTAGTACATCGTGCAAACCTGCGGGCCAGCATATTACAGCGAACAGCCAACGCCCTGCGTTCCCTTTCTATATCTAAGTCATCATTTAAGTCCTCTGTTACCCAGTGGCCTAGGTACTTAAATTTGACGACTCTCTTTAAAGGACTATCACAAAGTTTAACAGTAGGCATGGTGAGCTGCCTTTTAGTGCCTGAATTAAAAACCATAAGCTCGCTCTTTGTTACATTATATTTGAGCCCATGCGTCTTTGCATAGGATTCACAGATTCCTAGCAGCCTTCTGAGTGCACCTATCGTGGGACTCAGCAGCACCATGTCATCTGCATAGCTTATATTATTTATACAAATTCCGTCTATAGAACAACCGACTTTAGTGCTGCTGAGCTCCACAATCAACTGGTTTATGTATAGGTTGAAAAGCGTAGGCGAACTCAACCCTCCTTGTCTGACTCCACACTCCAGCCCATACCTCTCAGAAAAGCTACTACCCCATCGAACATAGTTTATTTGGTTACTATACCAATATTTAAATACGGAAATAATCTCCTGGGGCAAATTAGTCTCCTTCTGTAACTTTCGCCATAAGATATCATAAGAGACTAGATCGAAAGCTTTTGATAGATCTAAAAAACAGGCATACACCGGTGTTTTTCTATCTGTGTAGTACCTTACAGTCTGCTTAAGACATAAAATTGCGCTCTCTGTGGATAATCAAGGTTTGAAACCAAATTGTGCATCATGCAGATGAATATGCTTTCGCAATTGTCTGTCAAGGAGACTGTCCAGCACTTTAGCTATTATGGTGGCTAGTGAGATTGGCCTGTAATTATTTAAGTCTGATGTATCTCCCGTTCTGTTCTTAAGAATAGGCACCACAATGGTCTTCATGAGATCAGTCGGAAGATACTGATGTGCTATACATAAACTTAGAAACATAGCCAACACTCTTGGCAGGTGGGCACCAGCATGTACCAGATGTTCAATACTAAGCCCATCATGCCCTGGTGATTTGCCCCTAGTCATAGAATTTATTACTTCAGAGACTTCTTTGGGAGATATCCTTATACACGATCGTCCAAGACGTTCACTATCGATTACTCGCGAAGACGGACCGCGTGGTGACTCTACTTTGAAATGATCCTTAAATAGATTGGCTATGTCTCCAGGCTGGCTTTGACCCTGAATATTAGCGGGAAGGCTTGACTTGGGACTCAGCTTATTCGTAAGTTTCCAAAATTCTTTAAATTTCTTTAGGGAGTGACTTGATGCGATCTTGTCCATTTTTAGTTGTTCTGCGTTATTTTGACACCATTTTAACTTTGATTTAAAATCTCGTCTAGTTTCACACATTTTATTATAATAATAACCCGAAGATGGCTTACCGTATAAGACCCAAGTTTGAAAGGCAAGTCGAGCCTCCCCGTGGGCACTTCTAACATATTTGTTCCACCCCGCAACATATTTCCTATTCTTTTTGTTATTATAACTATTTTGCGCTGATTCTCTAAGAATAGTAACAATATTACCGTACATAGTATCTAAAATTAATTTATGATTATCATTTATACATATATCATTACAACAACTTTTAAATTCTTGTGGAAAATTTACGTCCTTTAATTTAGAGTGGCTACAGCCTTGGCCGTTAACTCAGCTGACTTAGCGTTACTTGCACTCGGAGCGCAGGCGGCGGGACGCGTTTCATCGCTGTCTGCATATCGTACTATCAAGTGACGGCGATTGCGCCTCAATCGGCGTCCGCGCGAATCCTGTACTATGAACGAACGTGGTTCCTGCGACGGTCTAATAATAGAAACGGGTTTCCTATTTCCGTTATCAACTAAAATTGCTTTATTTCCTGGTAATAAAGTCCGCAACGGCTTGGCCGACTTATCATACTGTAATTTATTATATTTTCTTTGTTGCATTAACATTTTATAATTTCTATTTCTATCAATCGTTTCATTTAATAGAAAATCACTAATCGGTAGCTTCGTACACAAACGTCTTCCCATCAGAATTTGTGCCGGAGAATCCATTCCATACCTAGGCGTACTCCTATAGTTCAATAAACTTATAAAGAAATCATCCCCAGAATCGATGCATTTTTTGAGTAGATTTTTTATAGTTTGCACTGTGCGCTCACTTTTCCCATTTGACTGGGGGTAATGAGGTGATGAAGTCATATGCTTAACCTCCCATAACCTAAGAAATTTTTTAAATTCTTGTGAACTATACGCCGGCCCATTATCAGTAACAAGCTCGCTAGGGATGCCATGCCTCGAAAATTGTTCCTTCATAAAGTGAATAATTGTTCTACTGTTTATACTATTTACTTCTTGAACTTCAACATAATTAGAAAAATAGTCTACTAATATGACATAGTATTTCTTTTTATACTCAAAAATATCTGAGGCAAGTTTTTGCCAAGGTGCATTGGGTACGATATGTTGAAGTAGTGGTTCCCGCGCGGGAGCCCGTGCATGCAGAGCACACGACTCGCAGCGGCGCACGGCGCGCTCCACGTCCGCTGACAGCCCTGGCCAGAACATTACATCACGCGCGCGCCTCTTACACCTCTCTATGCCTAGGTGACCTTCGTGTACTTTTACAATCATTTCGGCTCGTAAACTTTGCGGAATAAATATACACTAATTTTTTAATATTAACCCATTCACATATTGGAGTTCTCCACAATATGACCAAAACTTTCTAACGTTTTTATGAACATTATGCTCATTTTTTGGCCAGCCGTTTAATATGTACTTAATTAATAACTGACATTCCTCATCAACCTCTGTCGCCTTTCGAACTCTATCTATTTTTTCTCTACTAAACGGCATACATTCTATCATAAAACATGTTTGCGTCTCAACATCCTCAGACACTCGATCGTGCATAAACTCCGGCAGAGGAGCCCTCGATAACGTATCGGCAATATACATATATTTGCCCGGAGTATACACCACCTTGAAATCGTATCCCTGTATCCTCATCATCATGCGTTGTAGTCGTATCGGTACAGATGACAACGCTTTATTGAACAATGCCTCCAAGGGCTTGTGATCAGTTTGTACGGTAATATCTGACCTGCCATAAATGTACTGTTTAAACCTTTCTGCCGCAAACACTATTGCCAGCATCTCTTTTTCAATTTGTGCGTACCGGGTCTGAGTGTCGGTGAGCGTTAACGAAGCAAACTCCACTGGACGGCCGGCCTGCAGCAGCACCGCTCCCAGCGCTCTAGCACTCGCGTCTACCGACACCACCACCGGTAGCTCCGTCGAGTAAAGTGCTAACACTGGTGCAGATGAAATTTTATTTTTAAGACTGTCTATAGCATCTGAATGATGTGGCTCCCACAGCCATTCAGAATTCTTTTTTAATAAACTTCGAAGCACGGACACACTATCCGAATAGTTTTGAATAAATTTGGAAAGATAATTCACCATACCCATAAATCTCTCCAATGCTTTACGATCTGTAGGATACGGCATACCCATAATAGCTTTAACTTTAGACTCGTCTGGTTTTATCCCATTCTTATCGAATTTATGACCCAAATAAACAATTTCTCGAACTCCAAACTTACATTTCTCCTTATTAAATTTTATACCAATTTCTCTAGCCCTATTCAGTAAACATTTTAGCCTGAAGTCATGTTGTTCTTTAGTATTCCCCCATACTATTACATCATCAATAAAAGAGTCAACACCCTCCAAATCTTCCAGATATTGTCTTAACTTTGCATGAAATACTTCTGGAGCACAATTTACTCCATACGGTAGCCTTAGAAACTGGTAACGACCAAACGGTGTTCCAAATGTACAAAGATCTGCGCTGGCAGGATCAATTTGAACCATCCAAAAACCAGAGCGCGCATCCAGCACGCTGAAATACGTAGCACCGCGCAGCCGCGCTGCCAGCTCGCTCACCGTGGGCAGCGAGTAATGCGCGCGCCGCACCGCGCGGTTAAGCGGTCTCGGGTCCAAACACACACGAATATCACCATTCTTTTTTGCTACTAGCACAATAGCGTTAACCCATTCCGTAGGATGAGTAACTTTCCTGATAACGCCTAATTTTTCCATCCTACGTAACTCTGCTAAGAGTTTGTCTTTCATCCCCAGTGGTATTTTCCTAGTAGGGCAAATCACTGGCTGTACATTTTTATCTACGACAATAGAATACTGTCCAGGTAACTTACCCAGTCCTTCGAAGAGATCAGAATATTTATGTATATTTATACCGTCAACACGGGATACGAGCCCTAACATGACACAGCCTTCCAATCCCAGAACATTTTGACAGTTTAAATCTGCTACCACAAATGGTAAAATGTAATGTTTACTTTTATAAATAAATGGTAATTCGTACATGCCCAGAATAGGTAAATTATTACCAGTAAAAGATTGTACACATTTGTTAAAATATTTTAGGTTATGAATCGACATGCCTAAGTTTAAATAATCATTTTTCGAAATTACATTCAACATAGAACCTGTATCTAGTTTAAATTGCACTTGTCTACCATTACATTGAAAAATAACATTCCATTCTTTAGGTAACTTACATTTTTTATCCTGGCTTAATATCATGTCCACATAGAACATTTCGGCATCTGACATGTTTTCGGGCTCACACACATTCAAGTTTAAAACCTTATCGCGTAATGTATATTTATGCACACACACTTTAGCGAAATGCCCTTTTTTATCACACACATAACACAATGCATCCCGCGCCGGACACCGGTCGTCGGTGGAGCACCAACCATTGCCACATGACAAGCAGCGTGTTCGCGAAGCCGCCGACCCGGCACCGAACACCGGTCCGCGACCACGACCGCCGCGCCTCGCTCCGCGCGACCCTCCACGGCTGCGTCGTACACCGCCGTAGCTGCGACCGCTTGCATCCCTTACAGCATCAACTCGCATTTCACTACCGCCAGGACTATTCTCGATGTATGAACTTTCCTCCTTCGAAATTTCTGCCACTTGACATATCTGGACCGCCTTTTCTAATGTTAAATCATCCGTACGAAGTAGCCGATCACGTACAATGTTACTTATGATACCGCAGACAATTCTGTCCCGTATTAAGCTTTCATTTAGATTGCCAAACTCACAAGATTGACTTAGCAATTTTAATGCAGTAACATATTGATCTATATTTTCGCCTTCCTCTTGGCCTCGTGTAAAAAACTTAAACCGCGATAACGTGACATTAGGTTTTGTCCCAAAATACCTATCAAACTTTTTCAACAAACACTTAATATCGTCTTCAGTTTCGTCCTTGAGGTACGTGAAGGTCGAATAGATTTCGTAACCCGCCGACCCAATGAGGTTGACCAGCAAACTAGCCTGCACTGAACTTTCCTCGTTAGCCACTCCGGAGGCTTTAAGAAACACCTCAAATTGTTTCCGCCACTTGCGCCATGAGTCTGCTCGAGCAGCGGGGCCGCCTTCGAGCACTAATTCTACGGGAGGTCGCGCGTGTTCCATCACTTACTTTTACACAAAGTACACAATTTGCATCAAAAATAAGTACCCTTATCAACAATGTTACTTTTACATTGACTATGTAATTTATTTTCAACACCGCTGCCACCATGTAATAAAATAAACGCTAGCTGGTTCAACACTGATTTTATTATTTTTATGAAGGTATAGTATCCACACAAAATATCCGTCTACCCACAATATACTACATTAAATAACTATTGATTTCCTCAAATTCTTGTCAAAATAAAGCACAAAACTACACGATTTAATTGGTTTGTATCCAAATGAATAAATTAATGTTTTATATTAGGTTTCAGTGATCAATGTAAAGATCGAGGAAACCCTACATGTGATATGAAATAAATTGAACTGTAGATCGGTCTGGAACCTTTTTTCATTTGTTTTACAAATTGACTGCGATGCGAGCATTGATTTAGTTTTTTACTTAGCAACTTCCAAACATTTTCTAATGTTTATATACCTGCATCCGATTCATAGGTTTTCGTTTAGTAAATTGGGTAGCTAAGGTAATTTTGTACTTATTATATTAAATATTTTTTTGAACTATAACATGCCAGTATTTGACTACTATCCCACCTCATGGCATAAAGTAATTCAGCCAAAGATGGTAAAGTGATCTAACTTAGCTTAAATCACTGCATTTAGTAGTATCTTAATTAACTAAGCACAGGACGGAAATTGTGTGCAGATAAATAGACGGTTAATTGCTTCAAATTTATATTTATTTTAATTTCCTCAAATGTCTTCCTCTAATTCCGTTAATAATTAAACAATACTCTGATGAACATGGAACTGCTATGCGTAGAAACTAGCGCAGTGGTAACTTCAGACAAGGGTACCCAAACAATCCAAGTTCGAGGCGCGAGGGTATGCAAACAATCCAAGTTCGAGGCGCGCTTGTACCACATTAGTAAAGACCACAGTTTCTTTACTCATCTGCCTGTACCACTGAAATTCTAATCAGTATTTAATGTGACGAAGAAAACCTTCATGTCGAGAAATAAGGATATTCAACTATTTGGCATTTCTGTAATAGTCTGGCATTTGAAGTCTCGCATTTGAAGTCAGGCAACACACATTGGGATAGTGATGAACTGATCCAATATCGTCTTAGAAACAAAATTAGTGTGTGCCCAGAAATGAAATCTATTGTTATACTCGTGATTCTATTAAATGAATAAATAATATTTACTGTTTTATCACACTGATTTCTTCGTTTCAGCAAATTATTCCCGAAGAAATATATCTATTAAGGAATAACAGTATATTGCAGGATTATCATTAATATGCCAAACCTAAAATAATCCGAGCGGTAACGGTCTACTCTTTGTAATGAATTTTGGAAGCAAACGCATACTTTATAACATTTTCAAGTATCAGCACAAATAATAAGTCCTTTTTTCCTTAATTTAGTTACGCTTTTCTCAAATTGTGAACGTGCTTTTCACTTATTATTTCTTTGTATTGTATGAGGAACGTAAAGAATTGAATATACTGCTAATAAGTAATTCAATCACTGTCCATTTGAGACAACGCATCTGTAATTTGATCCTTAATCATTGATTATGGGCCACAGCATCCGTTTACCATGCTTCGGGGCTTGTTACAACTCCTAATTTTAACAAATTAAAAATAAAGATTTATATTATTTCTAACTAGCAGGAACTGGCTGGATGAAACCAGTGTTTTTTTACACCAGATCGCGAATCAACCTGTGTTCTGTCCATCGCCTTACATAATGACATTGTTTCTATAAATACTCGTACATACTTTTTTGGTCGTTACTTTGTTTATTATTATGTGCGTTACTTTATTTTTTATACGTGGCAAAGCCATGTTGCAGCTATATTAGAAGTATAGTTGTAGCACGAATAGTTCCGCTCGACCGGGGAAGGACCACGCTCTCACAGATTACCAGCGTTAAATAGCAGCTTAACGCTTGGTTGGATCATTGTGTAACTACGCGGCAGGCATGGGATACTGTAACCAACGTTTATGTTTTGGAAGACGTCATGTGGTCCGACCATAAGCCTTTGTGTGTTGAATGCAACATTAATTTGACCTTTAAGGCGGTGCATAATAACGTTCCTGTACCGAAATGTAACGACTTGTCAAAATGGGGTAAAAGAAATGGTCTCGAAATTGAATTTTATTCCTCTCTTTGTTCTGAGTATATACGTAACTTGGATTGGGAGAGGTTAAGGCATTTATCTGCTAAGTGTGATAGTTGTACTTGTACTGAACATCGCAAATACCTAGATAGATTGTATAACTCTTTTATTAGTTGTATAATTCACGCGGCCACACGTCGCGCGTCTCAGCATGTCTTCCAGAGGCCCCCTGTTCCGGGGTGGAATGAGTATGTACGCGAGGCACACATGAAGGCACGACAGGCTCGAGCTGGGTGGTTAACGGCTGGGGCGCCTTCTTCTGGTCCGCTGTTCGATCAAATGAAAAGAACGCGAACTATTTTTAAAAGTAGGTTAAGATTTTGCCACAATTCCGCTGATAAAATAATCTTAGATAAGATTTCGGCATCTTGTTTAAGTAGAAACTTTAGTCAATTTTGGAAAGGTACGAGAAATTTACTTAAGACCGGGTCTAAGATTACGGAGTCTGTGGATGGTCTGACGGACACACTGGCGATTGCAAACTTGTTTAGGGACAAATTTCTAGCGTTAAGTGCAGGACACTGTACTACTTATAATCAATATCTTGTAGCAGATGGCAAGGACATTCATGTATCTGAAGAGATGATATTTAATGCTCTGCGCCAGATGAAACTAGGAAAGGCGATAGGATATGACAATATAAGCGTGGAACATCTTCGGTTTGGAGGACCATGGGTAATTGCGTTCCTATCTGTATTTTACCGGTAGAAATGCTAAAAACGGTAATAAGTCCTGTTCTTAAATGTAAATTGAGTAGTTTGACCGACAGTGGTCATTATAGACCGATATCCATAGCTACAACTTGTGCTAAACTGTTTGACACCATATTATTAGGCGTTATTTCCAAATATATACAAATTAGCGATGCTCAATTTGGATTTAAAAAAGATAGTTCTACGGATGCGGCGATTTTTACTTTAAAGCAAACCGTTAGTTATTATAATAAGCGGAAAACAAATATTTATGCATGTTTCTTGGACTTAAGTAAGGCTTTTGACAGAGTCAGTTATGATATACTTTGGAGGAAGTTACGTGATGCGGGAGTGCCGTCATTATGTATTAACATATTGATCGCATGGTATAGTAGGCAAATTAATGTAGTAAAGTGGTGTGATACATACTCTGAGTAATTTCTCCTACAATGCGGTGTGAGGCAGGGAGGGCTAACATCGCCTATGCTTTGTAATCTGTATGTTAATCAGCTGATCGAGGAGCTTAGAAGCACCAGACTGGGTTGCCACATTGGTTCTGAATGCTTTAATAACTTGAGTTATGCTGATGATATGGTGCTGCTGAGTCCCTCGATTGGTGCGCTGCGTGCACTACTCCAGATATGTGAGAAATATGCAATGGATCATAACCTATTGTACAACACCAACAAGTCTGTTTGTTTGCTTTTTAAGAGTGGTAGGGTTCAACCTCATATCCCCCCATTGTATTTGTGTAATTCACAATTGGAGTGGGTAACGACGTTTAAATACCTGGGTCATATTGTTACTCAGGATCTGTGTGATGGTTCCGATATGGACCGCGAGCGTTGTTCCTTGTCAGTGCGTGCCAACATGATAGCTAGACGCTTTCAAAGGTGTTCTTATACCTCAAAGCTGGCGTTGTTTTCAGCTTACTGTCAGCCACTTTACACTCCTCAGCTGTGGACGAATTACACTAAAGAGGAATATCGCAGGCTGAAGGTGCAGTATAATGATTCGTTCCACGTGTTGTTCCGTCAGCCACGATACTCTAGCGCGTCTCAGATGTTCGCAGAGGCCCGTGTCGTTGGTTTGGATGCGTTGATCCGTCACCGTATCGCGCGATTTAGAAGTTTTGTTTTTGGGTCGCAGAATAATCTCATCAAAATTATTTGTAATACGTATGCATGTAGTGAAATTTTTAGTAGATGGTCAAATTTATTAAAATGTAATTAATAAAATGTAATAATATCATTGATTAACCAATAATTATAATTAAAATTTAAAGTATAGTTCAAAAAAATTTTTAATTTTAATTTTGTAATGGATCTGTGTTGTCTGTATCAAATAAATTATTATATTATTATTATTATTATTATTATTATTAACACTGTTGTGTTTCGTATGGTGAGTGTAGAGAAACGGAGACCATTTTACTGGAAAAGAGGCATTCCATCTTAGTCCTCACGGGTGACAACGCATCTGAATTTTGATTCGCAAACGAGGATAAATGTAGCCACAGCAACTGTGGACTGTGTGCTCGTTTGTCAACCTATCCTGTAAAAAAAGTATAGGTACATGTAAATAAACTTGAAGTGTGTGTCTGTAATATCGAAATAACTGCCTTTTATTAAACTGAGGGAGTTATTTGCATGCTATAAAGGCATGAATAACCATTTTTTAAATTTTTGTCTGTCTATCTGTCTGTGTGTCTGTCCAGGCTAATTTTCGAAAAGGCTGAAACGATTGTAAAGAAACTTGACGAACAGATAGAGAGTAATGCCAGAAGTGATTTAGGCTATATTTATCCGTAAAGATTACAGAGTTTTTGATAAAATCTAACACTTTATAACATAAAAATTTGATGATTTTCATACATCTAAATGACGACACATTAATAGATCCAGGTGAAGTCGGGGGCCGCTAGAATTTCACTAAAACTTTTTATTCGATGTAGAGAATATAAGACGAGTTGAAGAACTATATTGACTTCAGAAACTTTCAAGTTTACAGCTAGCAAAATCTTTGAAATTCAAGTCTTACAGTAAAATTGAATTTGAGTCAGCAATCATTTTGCTACTTAGGAAAACAGAGTAAAGTCGACGCAATAAAACTTCGT